GGGAGGGCGGGGGGCGCGCGGTGGCTGGGGAGGGGGACACCAAGGCCTGGGGCTGCACCGAGACGCGCTCGCGAGCCGCACGCCAATGGCAGGGATGCGGGACGGACACGCGCGTCCCTCCGGAAACCGAGGGCCCGGGACTGCAGAATGGGAAAGCAGCCTCCGGTGGATCCCAGCGCCCGGCACCTGCGACAGCGGGAACGACAGGCAGAACGTCAGTGAGAAACGAGCCCAACGCGCGGCGAGAGCAGCCCGGGTTGTCACTAGGAGGGATGCGGTGACTCCGGCAAGCCTGGCTCTGCCTCCGAACGCGCAAAGCCTAGTCCAGAACGGAGCTACCCCGCACGGCTCCCACCTTCCCGCCCCACGCGCTGGTGCACGCTCGGGACGGCCCCGCAGAGGATGGGCACGGCGTGCCCGGCTGTGGCAGCTGCCTGGAGGCGGCAGGCACTGTCCCATGCGCCAGGAGCTCCCGTGGATTGAGACACGGACCTGAATTCCGGCGTCACCTCTCGGGGTGCCTGCGGACAAAATAACCCCCAGGTCCCCCCAAAGCAGCTGCACAGCCCCACGGCACCAAGGGCTTTGAGAGCAGGGGCTAACGGTGCAACGCATCCCACATTCCTCTCCAGGAGACTTGCTTCCAGTGGGATAACTTTGTGCTTCACATCTAAACCCCCGAAGCAAGCGGCTTTACCCAAAGTTTCCGTGCCGCTGCTCAGCATTTCATCCCACCGTCCTTGCGATTCAGCCGCGCTCTGCTGCCTCCGGAGAGCACGAGCCGCGACGGGACACGCGGCAGAGCGGCAGCTCGGTGCAAAAACAGCAACAACACGGGGGTTATTCCAACCCAACTCAACACAGCGTCCAAGAGATTACCAGATGCTCCTTTATCCATGCTCCCGGCACCTCCAAATTGCGAGGACTCTTCCCAAGGAATTGCGGAATTCCCTGGGCTGGAGCTTTCCAACAGCACGCAATGTGTCAGGCAATACTCCCTGATTTCTTTGCCCCAAAGGGGCAGGATGAAACAGCCTGCAGACCCTGCTAACCCCTTGCTCCTCCACGGGACCTCCACATCGCCCCGTTCCCTGTAATAAAACAAGGCGGCGGTACCTGTCACGGCCGCTGTCCCGCTCGTCCACGGTGAAGAGGTGACGTGGCAGGGGCCGCTCTGACCACGCACGAGCCAGCGCGGAGCGCCCGGCTCGCCACGGAGCCCGCGCCGCGGAGCAGGAAATTAGGATCTCTCGGCCCTTACGGTGCTCTTAATCACCCTAAATAACATCATCTCCTTTCTGCCCACGGTAAAATAGGCCAGAGCGGCTCGATGGCTGGGTTCTAGGAATACTGACGAAAGAAGAGTAAATCCTGTGCCCTTCAAGAGAATTACAGCCTCGTCGTGCGCGGTTAGGGACACATGACTGCCCAGATTATCCCCCTGTATCCCCCTAAAGAGCAGCCCCCCCATAAGTGCTCAGCCCCTTCACCAGCTCCCGATGGGCCTTGCGGCTGGCGCTCATAATTTCATCGACGGCTTTTTCCCCTTTTTTGCGCAGATTTAATCGCCGGCCTCACGAGTAGGCAACATTCGCGGCGGTGCCTCCTGCGCTCCGCTCTCGACACTGACATCTGCATGGGACGGATTAATTTGCTAAGCGACCGTATTGCTTTATTCCACCCCCTGGAAATTATTAAAAGATAAGCACAATGGGCATCGCTCAGCCCTGGGAACGTCGCTGCGCTGCCTCCACACTGCGTTAAACATCTCTTGCGGGTAAAACCGGAGGTGAATTCCACTCCTGGGCCAAACAGCCTCCAAAATGTCACTAATTTACACCATTTCGGCCGCAGGCTGGGGAAGCTGGATGGTGCCACTTGCCTGGGGTCCCCCACCGTCACCCCTTCAATCCCCCCAACTCCTTGGAGTGCAGGGCCCCAAAACGGGCACCCCCAAGGCCCCGGGTCCCTGCCCCATGCAATGCCCCCACCGGCACCATGCAGGTGTCTCAGCTCCAGGCTGTGCCCGGGACCCCCCGAGCACCAACCACCCCAGCCCAGGCACCCCCCTACGCCCAGGTGCCCCCAACTCCAGGGATGTCCCTGCACAGCCCATCCCACGCACCCCAGGGTGCTGGGGGGTCCCCTTGTTGTATGGGCCCCCCATCCCACACACCCCAGGGTGCTGGGGGGTCCCTTGCTGCATGGGACCCCCATCCCACGCACCCCAGGGTGCTGGGGGGTCCCCTTGTTGTGGGCGCCCCCC